TCTCTCTCTATATATATATATATATATATATATATATATCGATATATATATATATATATATATATATACCTTTTTTTAAATTAATTTTGTTACTATTTTCGCTAGTAGCGTTTTTCAAAACCATTTACTTTTCAAATTTCAAAAATCTATTCTTATATTCTTATAAATTCAATTTTTACATATCTGTTATTATTAATGTTAAATTACTTTAGTAAGTTTGCTAGAGAGAGAGAGAGAGAGAGAGAGAGAGATTCAACAATCTCCTGTCAATTCTGATAATAACAAATTATATTATTTTCATCACTTTTTCCAGCTATATACAGGTATATGCAACTGGGAATAAAATGTCAGCTAGGTCCCCTGGCAACTGTGAATCATTATTATAGGCATATTTTAAAATTCTACCTGCAACAGAACAGTCTTTCTCAAGCATGTTCCTAGAAACATCACCATTACAACTTTTTCTAATCAAACATTCCTGATTTAACTCATCAGGCTGTTAGTGGAGACTCAGATAAGGGTGACATCCAAAATGTGTGCTATTGGTGTGCCTCCAGGAACAAGGAAACACACTGCAATAGATAACAGATTACTGTTATTAAATATGATCAGAACACAGTAATGCATCGTCTTGAAAACACTGTCAGAATCCTTTTATTATATGTAATTCTCAATGACAAACCTGCATTCTGGCGTAAAATATAAATAGCACTTGGCTTTGAAGCATGTTGGTAGCCATCTTCTTCTCAATGGTCTGAAAGTACATACTACGGCAGAATGACTGAAGATATACAGCCTCCATAGAAACAGATTTTGATTTCAGTGAAAATTAATGTGAGTGTGCTACCCAAAACAGGTTTACGACAAAAAAGAAAAGCTGACACTTATGAGTTTCAGTTCATTAGATGAAAATCAAAACCACAAAGAGGATTGTACAAAGATGATCAAATTTAACTTTCAAATTTGCAGTGTGTTAATGAGCTGAACCGAAACTGATTGGTATCTGTTTCTATCTTATGCCATTACAGTTACACAGTGAATCAATGCTTTGAATGCTGGTGTGCATCTATTAAACAACCACTCCATAATACACAAGAGACACCAGCTATCAGCACATGGCAAGCTGTTCACGGAAACAGGCTTTAAGTACTGTACAGCCGCATGACAAAAGATCTGGCTGTAGTGGAGAAAACCTTTTAAAGGGCCTTCCCATAAACTAATGCCATAGTCAAAGTCATAAGCATAACTTTCATCAACATTATGAGGTACCAGATTATAGTCAATGTTTGGGTCCTGCAGCTGGGAGAATGGATGAAGCGTGTCTAGTGATAACAGAAATGCCCTATAGCTTATCTTCACCAGGGGTGAATGAATAGGGCAAAGACTGAGCTCCTATTGTGTTGGCGAGATAATCCTGTATTACACGAAGAAAGGGTATGATACACAAAAGACATTTTTTAGAATCCATTCACCAGGCTTGCCACTTCCCAGACCGCCCACATCTTCCCTTTGATTTGCCGGTGAAATGGTCCACCTCGGTTTCACTTTGAAACGTGCTTTAAATGGAAAAAGCCATATGCTGTTTGCATGGGCAGGCCAATGTGTCTGCTCTTCTCCTCTTATTAATACAATAACCTCACAAAACCCACTCCACAAGCACTTCAATCAAAAAAACATTATTGTCTGTGTTGTAAGACACTTTCTTTTTTACTTGCAGGTTCTGAAGAAGTTGGCTGATGCGATGACGATAAATGGAGATTGACCTATGCATGCTGAGATTCACTGGAAATGTTCTAAGTAATCAGTGGTATTGATGGCGATATTTACAGCAACAGTTTATGACTGCCAATGAAATCTGAAGCACCCTTATCACAGTCTGGCAGATTGCTCTCAACATCCCAGTGTCTATTAACATTATTGATTTGACTGCACTGACACTATTGGATGAGAACAAAACTTGAACCGAATTGAGTTGAATAACAACACTATTGTCTTGTTTATAGCTGAATCTGCAGCTGAATTTTGCAACACTAGTATTAAACTGAACTGAATCAACATAGACCTGACTTGAGTTATATATAAATAATGGCACTATTATCTTGCTACAGCTGCTTTACAGCAGAATTTGGATTTGAAATTTTCATAATTGATTCTGGTACTTTCCTGTTTAATGCTGTGAAGCTGCTTTGAAACAATCGCTATTGTATAAAGCGCTATAAAAATAAAAGTGAATCAACTTGGTTAAAACTATTATGACAAGTGTGATATCAATGTGAAGTTGTAAGCATAATCAAAATCAAGTCTGAACAATGACAGCAACAGATTAATTGATATTAGGCTGTTTTTACAAGCATGACCAGTATATGTTTTGTGTTGATACCACCAAAAAAAAAAGTTAATGTATTTTGGGACTCGTAAGACATGTTTCCTAAAAGTGTTGCCAAAAAAGAGATGACAAAAAAAAAAAGAGAGAGACAGATCTGTTCTGATAGCAGACAGCAGAAAAAAAGACAATCCTACATGCAAATAATACAGTGCAACAAACCATATATCTATGTGTAGTTAGGAAAAATAAATAGGCATATCTTTTGTTCTTTACTTCAAAAAGCAGTGCACCAAATAAAGCTTCATGTGATATTTTGATGCAAATTAATTTGTCAGACAACATAGACAGGTTGTGTGACACGGCCTCATCCTCAAAGCATAATTAAAATTATAAAATAAATAATAATAAAAACGTATATTATATCATGCACAAACAGACATATGTCCCCTATGTGGATTGGAACGCATGCAGCCTTATTGATTAAATGTTCACTGCCAAATTAATCTGCTCTCTAAATTATCTGCTAATGTATGAGAGGATGATGATCTCAAACCAGTATTTTATTTTTAATAAAATATGCTATTATCTTTAAGCCATGTGAGATATGGGGTTTGAATTAAAATCCAATGATTAAAATAATGGAGGAAAATAAAGACATAAGGAATGGAGGAATAGGACATGACATAAAAATGAATTACAAATATTACATATTAAATTTGACCCATTGAGTGCAGGGACACGTATTACAAACTGAATGAGAGTTATTTATACAGATTCGTTGTGGGACTTTTGGGACACGAAGAATGGATTTTTAATCATAAAAGTACAAAGGTCTTAAATAACTTCCAGTAGATTCAAAATGAAAGTTTGTTAAAGTCAAAGAAGTAAGACTTATAAAGAGCTGGTATTGTGTGTAAAATACAACTCTTTTTACTATGATGAAAAAAAAGGTATGATAGGATTTTTTTATATTATATTGACTCTTTCTGCAGTCAGTTCTAAATGGCTTCTCAATTTCTTG